TTTTTTTTTTTTTTTTTTTTTTTTGGTGTCCATTGGTGCCTCTCCTTGTGTCAATGCTGTTGAGAGTCTGTCATGCCATCTTCAGGGTGGCTGTGACTGCTGCTACAGAAACTAGCCACTTTTATGGCAGTCATGGCAATTGTGTGGTGGCTCTGGAGGGCTACCTGCATGGAAGTGGTGTTTTGGGGGTGCTCTTTACCTGGTTGTGGCTGAGTTCAACTACCCCTAGCTCCACACCTCATCCTAAGATGCTGTTGCAGAGCGATTGTTGGGGAGGGAGAGAGGGGAAGGGAAGGGAAATAGGGTGGATGAGGGGGGCATAATCGACGCCTGTGGCACCCCCCTCATTCCAGCAGGGGACACCAGGGGGCTTCCAGAAGTGGCTAGGTAGTTGCTGGGCTGGATGCAGATGTCAGGGGGGTGTGGCTGAAGCCCTTGGCCCATCACTGCCCCAGATCAGGAGCCCAGGGTGGTTCCAATTGCAGATATCAGGGGGGCGTGGCCGAGGCCCTCAGCCCTCCCTCTTCCCTGGCTTGGGATCCCAGGGGATTTCCAGTCCTTCTAGGTTTTATAGGTGTTCTTTGGTGACATGAGACTTTTACTAGTTAATATCAAACTTTGTCTCTGGTCTCTGGGTATTTTGTTTTTTCTTTCAGTTCTGTGTTGGATTATTCTCTGCTCCCACCACTTAAACTCTATACTGGAACTAATTTGTTGTCCTTTGCTTACTTCTAAAATGGGGGATCTTCCTGAGGGACCAGCACTTGAACCCTGTAGTTGAGATAAATTGCTTCATTGCTTCTGATTCCCTGAGGAAGGCTTTTTGTGCAGCTCAGGTTTTGATGGTTGACACTGAATATACTTCTGAGTCTTGTGAGGTCTGCTATACCTGGGTTCTGTGGAAACTCTGATCTGGGGCTGCGTCTTTTCAACAAACTGCAGTTCTATATTACTGATCAGTCTCCACTGAGTGGTCCTGTACTGACTGGAGGGCAGATCAGCTGTCCTTGCTGTGCCCCAGTGTTCCCCTGGTCAGCCCATCTCCCCCACTGCCCGTGCTCCAAACACTTCTCCTGGGATAGGCCGTGCTCTGGTCCCTTGTGATGACTCACCACGCTCCTTTTTTCAGTTGTTCTGGCCCTTCACTCCTGTGTGGGTCCACAGGAACCCTGTCAGTGATCTTGCTGGCCTGGGGGCCACCAACACCCTCCTCTCCCCTGTAGCCTCCAAGCAACTTCATCTGAAGGGCACAGCTGCGGCTTCTCCCGGCTCCTGCTCCGTGTGCTCAGCAGCTCCAGCCTTGAAGTGGCTGGGGCTCGAAACGGTTGGAGCAGTTCTTTCTTTCTCTCGTTGTGGCTTCTCCAGCCTTTGTGAACTCCACAGGTCTCTCCTCCTCTTCCCCTGAGCTCTAGTGGCCCCAGCTTGGCTGTCATTGCTTTTAATAGTCGTCACATTGGTTTCTTGAGTACTTGACCAGTCATTAGAGTTGGTTTAATGAGTACTTGACCTTGAATTGGGCCCTCTTGTTTCTATGAATATTTTCCAGCCTCTGAGAAATAGAAAAAATTGAGACCTTGACAATTTTAAATTCATTGACACACATGTCCTTAGAAGAATAAAAGCTACTTGGATTTTATAAAATAAACCTTCACAGTAAATTTAAGTTATTTCTTAGTTGCACCTTAAGTGAAGTCTTAGGTAGGAGACAGAAGCCATGGTTCCATTTATAGTCACAAAGCCCCAAGAAGGCAGGGTCATTCCTGGACAAGCAGGGGACGCAGATGCTCAGTCAGGGCCCATGTGGCCACACTAGGTGCCCTTCCCCAGAGCTGGTGGTCCACATCCCTGATGGGGTGGGGATCCCCACTGGAACGTGCAGGCAGAAGCTGGGGGCACACGCGGCTTTCAGAAACACTATAGATATACATACTTACATACGTATATGTACTCATACCTCTCGGGAAGTCCAGAACATTCCTGTCAGGCTATACCACACAGACAATTGTGGGATCACAGACAAACAGTTCTGTGTGTCTAAGACGACTGGTTAGGTTTCTACATAGATCCCAGGCTCAGCTGGCCTGGACACCTCAGTGTTACAGATACGTGCCCAGGGCCGACAGCTGCCCTGCGTCAGGGCAACCCGTCCACCAGGCTCACCTTGGTCACGTCCCAGTGCACATTCGGTCAGTAGTGTGCATGGCCACCAGGAGGCACTGTTTGCAGCTGTGACTGACAGGACCCTGGATCCATAGACCCACTCCTGTCTATACCCTGCAGCCACAGGCCCACCCCCATCTACACCATTATCCACAGGCCCACCCCCATCTACACCCTTTGTCTACAAGCCCACCCCCGTCTACACCATCATCCACAGGCCCACACCCGTCTACACCATCATCCTGTGTACATCTTCATGCCTTATCTACACCATCCCTCCCCGTCTACACCGGCACCTGGCTACACTGGTGTTCACACCCCTACCTGGTTCTATTCTTTCTAAGAGTAGAGATGGGCTCCTTCAGAGGAGCTCAGGCCCTCAGTGACCCCAGGCCTCACCACTCCATCAGGGGACTGTGGGTCTCAGGCATGGAGGTGCCACATCCCGTGCAGGACAGTGGGAGACGTGTGAGGGCCTCACCCAGCATCCCCCTCCCCTCTGCTAGGAAAAACCACCTTGATCAAGGCTCTGACCGGCGACGCGGCTGCACAGCCCCGGGACCAGCTGTTTGCCACGCTGGACGTCACGGCCCACGCGGGCACGCTGCCCTCCTCCCTGACGGTCCTCTATGTGGACACCATCGGCTTCCTCTCCCAGCTGCCTCATGACCTGATCGAGTCCTTCTCGGCTACACTGGAGGACGTGGCCCACTCGGTGAGCACAGGGCGGGACGGGCTGGGATGAGGTTCCCTCAGAGGTCAACACACCCTGGGTGCTGGGGTCCCTAGGACACAGTAGACCTGGGGCTGAGTTTTCAACCACGACCGGGACTCCTTAGACATACCGTGAACCCTCCCATTCTGTTCCTTCCACCTCCGTACAGTGATCCCCGTGAATCACGATGAGAGGGACATGGTGTTTCCTGGTGTGGCTGCTGGGTCGGGGTGATCCTTAAAACCCCAACTCAGAGTCTGCCCCTGGGGTAGAAGCCTGGTCATAATTGATTGCTGATTCCTCTCA